AATAACAAACTGGTTTATAGTTTATGATTGCTGGTAATTCTCTGTTCATTAGACAGCTATATTTCAGCATGAGCTTTATTAAACACTTAGGCATAACTAATGTTAATACAATAAATTGGTTTTGAATGTCATCCAAAGCACAAGGATCCTGGGTTTGGTGTGCATTAATTAACATTTAAAGCATTAAAGGTTTAATGCCTTAAGAAGATTTTGCCCTATAAAAAGTCACAAACACTTTGTTGACCAGCAGACAGCCCTCGATGGCATACACTGGACCTCACTACATGCACAGTGAATGAAGAGACTGCTTGTGGTTTTCTGGAAAGTTCTTTCCGCTGACACTACAAGAAGTTTTGAAGCTCTGCAAATTGTCAGTATACTTTATCGGCAGATATCCATGCATCACTCCCGATTAGTCCCCATGTGCTGTTTCTCATGAATCCATGGTGCCATATAGTAGAGAGATATTCCTTGATGATGGCAAAATTCCTCTTTTAGAATTGTATAAAAATCAGTAAATTAACTAATCTTATTCCATATATTTAAAACACCTAGAGGAAATTAGTAATTATTTGACAGCATGGTCTATACATGGTTATAATCTCCATAAAGGTCAAAATAATCATTCAGACAGTAAAATGTCCATTAACACCTTAGTTACACTCCCTTTCATTCTGAAATGTGTCATGGAGAGAAGTGCCAGCGTAAAGCAACTTCACATTTAACCATCTTTCTCACTTTCAGAGGGAAAGATCGATGAATGACATTGCATCACCTCAGATCTGATTTGGGACCAGCGAACCTCAACCAATTTGCATAAAGAGAAAGATTAAGGTGCCCTGGGGTCAGAACCTGGGGGCTCTAAATCTTCCCTGGAATACAGATCAGTTAGGGCTTCTTCTGTGCCATTATGACCAGACCTCTCATTCCCCAGCCCAATCACATCACCCACATAAACTAAAACAGTGTAAGAACTTCACAGCCTCACATGTCTGTTACAGACATTCCATGGTCGTATTTCATTTTATCGGCCCACAGTGAAGGACATACCAAAAAGTTCAAGATAACTAATCAGAAGGCACCAAGTAATATGTAATAAAGTTATTGTCATCAATGCTGGTATGTGTTAGTGATCTGAGAAAGAATTATCTGTCACTGGGGTAATAATGTGTAGAGCCTTAAAAGGTCCCCTCCAAGCTGAACCATCGGATCATTCTTAACTACTTGCTTATTGACTTCCATACCACATTTTTAAATGCACATGAAGCGCTGTCCATCTTGGGCACCCATAATTAACCACCAAAGCTATATAAAACTGCAGCATTAGCATTTCATTTACCCACAGATTTCCATACTGTATCGCAGAGAAATGAATGGCAGTGGATGCAGCAGTTTGAGACTGAATAGCTGTAAATGACGTCTAAATTCATCCTAATCTATCAGTTAACTTTCCTATAATGCTGTAAGTATTAATACAGCAGAACACGTTTATTTAGGGCACTGTGTGCAATATAGGACATTATTTTGACCTGCATCTACACAAAATATTTGTCACAGTCTAATTTTCATCTATAAAACATCAACGATGCAGAACGAATTCATGACTGCAACACAGTTACAAAAATATCATTGTTTATATGATGTACCATTTTATTTCACACAGACCAGATATTCTAAAAAATAAAGGTTAACAAAATACACTCAAGTTTCCATTGTATTGTTACTGCACTCATTCTATTCAGGCAAAGAAAAAAACATTTTTTTTTTTAGTGTTTAGTAAATATTTACATGTGTATAGAGACTCCACATGACACAATCAGCTGCAGAAGATACAGAACATCCACTCATACAGGTGAAGCCCCACGAAATTACTGTGATGTTATCATCAGTGCTTTGACACAATGAGAACCCAGCTCCACACCGAGAATGGCTCGAGGCCAAGAACACACAATTTCCATGCTGATTGTCTCCTTTTTAATTTGCATGAAAACACCAGGATAGAGCCCAGCGCAACAGTACAGATACATTGAGACTCTTTTGGCCATTTCCCCAATGCAAATGACACGCTGGGGTATTTGGAGCAAATCAAAACCAAATATATAAATAAAACACGCCTGACTGATGACAGGGATGAAAAGCAGGCCAATCTTAAGTTGTTCTTTCCCTGGGTTTTAGGTCAGTGTTGTGAAAACTGACACCATGCACAAGGTGAGGACAACCCCAGTCCAACTCTCAGACTCATTCAGTGGGTGCAGCATATGCTGCTTACACAAAGCCTTGGGACACTTGCTTAATTCTGTAACAATGTTGCAAATTTGGTTTCATAACAAAACTCCATTGACAAGCAATGTTTAACATATCCTAATGTATCTTCCAGACAGACATTTTCTTTTTATTAAGTGTCATGATTTTTTTGACTGACTCATTCAGTTCTGTTCTTGCCATTTTGCTATTAATTACAATTGTAGTCACTGGCTCCCAAAGGCATAATAAACCCGTTGGTGTTTTATGTTATTGCAAAGATGTTACTAATTAAAAAGCACCAAATGAGACTGCTTGTTACTAAACCTTTTAACTCAGAACAACTCTTTTAGAACTATAATTTTGGTTTCAATTTACGACATGAAATAAATGTTTTACTTAAAACTACTGCTTGTTTCTAATGTGATATTTATTTTTGCAAACAAATTCATAAAGTAATGATTTTCATTATAAAACCAATAAATTTGCGATATTTTTACTGAATTAAGCAAGTGTCCCAGGACTTTCAATGAGCACTGTAACCCTACAGTGCAATAAGGGCTTACATCCTCCTACACACACGTGGCTTTGCGTAAAGCAGTTTCATCTACCATTCCCAGTACATATGTACATATGCACTGGTGACAGGTGTTCATTAATTCATTAATGCTCTGTAGGAACATGCATCTGTCTGGACAACCCTGCTTTCATCAGGCTCTGCAGGATTCTCATCACTCTTTCATTCTGTGTTCTCCATCATCTCACTATTTTTGTTTTCCAGCCCCCCCACCCCCATCACCCCTGATATCTCTCAGGTAACTAATTGCCATCGGCTGATTTAAGACACCGACGGGGGAGCAGGCGAACACAAAATATTCACACAGGTAATAAACCTCAAATCCACAGACCCTGAAACCACAAATTGCAAATAAAATAAAAAATTATCGGCACAGCAGCTCATTTTTAAAATCACACGGGAAATTACTAATCTAAAAGGTAAATTATCACTTTTTCAGAGGAGCTCTCTGTTGTAAGGTTTGTGGGGGTGAAAGGGACATAAGACGCACACATCCGGCTCACAGAGCATTGGAAGCGAATCACAAAAGGCACATTGAAAGCTAAGCAATGAAATCAGCGCAGCCATCAGCTCAGCATACCTCATTGTGCATGAATGTCATAACTGGGGCTGACGTCTGCAAGCCTGCCCCATTCCCACAGCAACAAATGATGTGTAATCTATCTGTGGTGTTAGGATTTTGTGCATAATCTTCCCTACATGCTCAGTTATAACTGTGTGTTTTTGCGGTGATTGGGGTCCATTATGTCTGCCACAGTGCATGCAAACAAGTTGGTAATAGTGCCGGACTGACATTTACGACCCAAGTATGTGCTTAGCATTGAAAAATGTGGGAGTCGGGGAGTCCCTGTAAAACACTTGATTCATTGCTGCCACCTGGTGATCAAGGTGAGTAAATACAGGTCAGTTTAGACGGTTGCCAAAGCACCGACACCAAGAATAATGGGAAATACTACACCCACCTGACACAATTTTACTAAAGCAGAAAAAGATATATTTTATTAATACATTTAGATACACTGTTCAATTATAAATAAATTGTATTGATCATGTTGTAATCTGCTACTAATCAAGTACCATGTACCAGAAAAATGCTTAAAAGACAGGTATTAGTCATGTATTCAGTCATTATCTGGGGCCTATCAGACATAGAACACAACAGGGTAGAATCTAGATGAGATGGCAGTTCACCTCATGTTAAATGCACATGACCACACAAACTACAAGCCATGGAGAGTCTAAAGCTCAGCTGATTCACACAACTTCTGAATCATGGATAGAAAAGTGCACACACACTGCACTGGGTACAGATTTGATCCTGGAAACCCAGCTGTTTATGGGATCAGCACTACCTGCTGAGTCAACATGCCTCTTGAGTTGTGGGTACACTGCAGAGAGGTAATGGTAACTGCATCGGCGATTTTCACGTTAAACACTGCTCCGTATTAAACACGAGGTCTGTAAAAACTTGCTACTCTTCCATTTGATAAACACCATTCAGATCTGTTCAAGTCTTCATACTAAAAGAAGCATTTTTACAGAATTTCATATAATATTTTCCCATTAATATGTTAATGATCCATAAATTCAGTGAGTACACTGGACTGCGAAATATAATTTTTTTTAGAATTTAGTGATCAATTGTCATTGTTGACACACCACAGCACACAGTTCACAACAACGAAATGTGTCCTCTGCATTTAACCCATATGTGACAACGTGACATAGCAGGGGGCAGCTAATTCAGCGCCCGGGGAGCAGTGCCTGGGGGCGGTACCTTGCTCAGGGTACGTCAGTGGTGCCTTGCTGGTCGGGGATTCGAACCTGCAATCATTCAATTATAAGTACACTTCCCTGACCACTAAGCCACCACTGCCCACTACATGCCCATTACACTACAATTTAACTACATGTTGAGTGTAACTAATTCTCTAGTCACAAACTGCACTGTTCATCCTAACTTTTATACGTTTTAACAAGGCCTTGCAAGCTAACGAGCATTCTGACCATGAGAAGGCACCATATACCTGAAAAGCAGGTGGTATAAGTCATGTGACAAATCGCACACTTAATAAAAAACGCTAAAAAAAACAAAAGGTCTGCTGCTGGAAGCTCACATCCAGCTGGGCACAAATGATGGCCGCTCAAGCTCAGCGGAGCACTGACCGCACGGCATTCTTACCTGCGTTAACGACGGCGTCAACTTCCAGCCGAGTGATGTCACCTCTGAGGAGTGAGACTTTGGAGTTCAGTGCCTCATTAACTTGGTACAGGGGTTTTTCAGTAACTTGTCCTTGGGAGAAAAAAAAACAACAATGAATAAGATGAATTTTAAATCCAAATGATTAAATCATTGCAGCTCTCCATTTGGAAACAGCACCAAGTATATCATACATATCATCAAACTCATTACCATTTTCACACCACTTTTCCTGGTGAGCACAGGGACACATAAACATAAACTCCAAGCCTTGTCCTCCAAATTAACTCCCACTTCAGCAGGCTGCCTAGTGCCAGCAAAAACCACAGCCACCGGGCAATCTCAGGACCTTACCATTACCATCATTCATTGAGCCGATGCCCTGGTATTCATTTAAGCATCTTCAGAACAATCTACTCTTTAAAAGAACCCTAATATATGCAGTTATGCCTGGCTAACAAAGTGAATTCTGAGGTTCTGAGAAATCCTTAGATTTGGAGGTGCTAATTCTAATCTCTGCTGCTTCACACTCAAAAACCTGCTCAGATGCATCCTGGAGGTCAAGAGCAAAAGGTTTTGCAAATAACAGGAACATCACCTCTAACCCCCAGGGTGTCAATGTACATCCTGATTTCTGCCAAGTTCAATGTGTCTCTGGCGCAACAAGGGAGGAACTTTCATTTCACTTCATTAACCAATGACACTCTCCATTGTATGACAATACCACATTAATTAAAACCATTGTTTTCAGTTAAGCGACAAGGTGAACAGATCTGTGAAGTACCCGTTTTATTGTGTATGCCTTTTGTTAAGGGACGTGTCATAGATGCAACACACTAACATGCTTACCTGCAAAGGCTGCACAGAACCATGTAAGGGAGTGTCTTTTTCTGATGATGATGATGATGATGATGATGATGATGATAATAATAATAATAATAATAATAACAACAATAATAATAATGATAATGCTGAGCCACACACTGTCCTCAGGCTGATGGCTGGAAGCCTCGACTTTGAAAATGAGAAAAACTGAATCAACGTGGTGATGTCATACGATGAAGACTGTGATGGTAAAATAAGTGAAAAGCAAACCCTTCCCTTGTTTACCCAGGGACTTTATATATACACTAGGGGTGCATTCTGCCAACTAGCCCATGATACAATATTCATCACAATACCAGTGTCACGATTCAATGCATCACAATTTTACCATTGTATCCTGATGGTTAACACTCCAATAGTGAAATAATGGAAGGACTAAAGATTTACAACAGGCCAAATGTAATTAACAGGCACTAACTGCCTTTAACTACCAAGGATCAGTCAGCATATATAGTCAGTATATTTTAAATCAGCAAATGTTGAAAAAAATGTTTGCTAAATAAATGGTACTGCAATAAATTAATAAATGAATGCAAAGTTTCAACATATTGATGAAAAATCATGACAGATTCAATCACAATTTAATGATTAATTGTAGCATTGATACAGCAGGACAAGAACTGTACTATATCTATCAGGAAAAAAAAGACATTTTCAGACCTTAAAGTCTGAAAATCTATTTTAAGCTGTTCTAAGGATCTGCGGGAGCCCTGGGCTTGCAGTTTATACAATCAATCAGCCTATCCTCACCTATGTTCTTGAGCCGTAGGTAATGCATGAAAGAACAAGGTTGTGAATACAAGTGGCCAAAATGAGCTTTTGGCGCAGTGTTGCCAGACTCACTCTCCGTGAAAGATGGAGTACTTCATAAATCTGAAGGGAGGTTAAAATATTGCTGCAGCTCATTTGGATCAGGAAGATACAGTACTGATGGTTTGGGCATCTTATAGGGATACCATCTGGTCAGCTCCCTTGGGAGCTGTTTTGGGATTGTCCCAGTAGTTGGAGGCTCCAGGACAGATCCAGAACAAGGGATTATATCTCCCAGCTGGCCGGGGAACATCTGGGATCCCCCAGAATGAACGTGTACCCTTGGAAAGAGAGGTTTGGTGTGACCTACTTGGCATGGTGCCACTGTGCCCCTCACCAAGAGAAGAGGTGTGGAGATGGCTATGATAGCGTGATATTCCGAACTTTGAACTAGCTTCTCTGCAGTCTTTGAAGCCTATCCCAGAACCTACAGGCTCAAGGCAGGGAACAACCCAAGACAGGGCACCAAGCCATTTGTAGAGCACACTGACACATGCACACCTACAGGCAATTTGGAGTGTGGGGGCAAGCAGGGCTACCCTGAGAAAAGCCCACAATGACACAGGGAGAACATGCAAACTCCATACACATGGAGCGATGGCAGAGACCTGAACCCGGGTCACAGAGGCGCAAGGCAACAGTGCTAAACACTGTGACACCATGTCACCCCACTACATTCCAATATCTTACATAATCAGTAAGTTATTTCTGATCTCACCAGAAGGGGTCCAGATAGGGATGCTCTTCAGGTGGAGCACACCCGACACCCTGCACATTGCCTGCCTCTGCTGCTGTGTTGCTGATAGGAGAACCTCTGCATGGGGAGAAGTTAATGGAGTTGCGTTCAGTATGCAATCCCCGATTAAAAAGTGGCACAGTAGTAAACAAATAGTACACATGGTAGCCTGTTTATATTTAACATTTGCAACACGTTTAGTTGTTTGCAATATATGTACTGTCTTTGCATTTTGTCTGTTCATGTTTTTTTTTGTTTTAGCTATATGCATTAGAATTTTCATCTATGATCAGTAGTGTCCATTTTAATCTTAACCGTAAAGTATAATATGTGGCGTACAATAAACACTGTGTTATGTATGTTATCCCCGCTTGAATGCAGGCATTTTCGGACATTTCGTGACCTTTAAGTCTGAAAATCAATTTCACTCTGACAGCTAGGTACAAGTGTTCCTCGTTGTGCAAAACAGCTCGGCAGCCCCCTCCAAACTCTCACAGAAAAAAAGGTCAGGGGTAGCACTGACTTTTGGCCTCTTTCCAGTCGGTGTCAGGGGAATCCAAGTCAACGGTGCTGGCCCCGGAGGTCATGGCGAGGAGGGAACTCGAATGCAGAGAGGCAGTGACGACAGACAGCCCAAAGGCGCCCAGCAGAGCCCACAGACCCGGTCTGGACAACAGCGTTCGCCTGTTGCTCAAAAATGGATTGCCACCGATCGGCTGAAAAAACGTTGACGAAGCCGCGGCACTAGTGGAAAATGTAGCAGCTTTCCCGCGATTTATGAGCCCGGAGTACAGCGCAATTTGCTGGTCACGGAGTCCGGGCAATGCCAAGCAGTCTAGCTTACTGACGAAACGCGGCAACGGTACATTTGGTGTAAAGATTACAGATTTAAAGCCAGGAGCATGCAGAGCAGCACAGCTCGACCCCTGGGTGTAAGAGAGCGTAGTCAGTGCAACGCGGCTTTTAGCGCGGCAGGCAAATGACATCTGAAACGCCATGGCAGTGACACGGAGCCGAAGCGCGGCCGAGCCAGCCTCCAGCTGTCAGTATGGCGTCACCGAACAGCGCGCGCAGCTCGTTAGCTAAACAGCTACCGCTTTCAGTTCTCTAAGCGAGCGTCTGGCGACCGCGCTGCACGCTGCAGTCCTTATGGGGTCGGAGGAGGGTTGTAGTTCATAGGTCATAAAATACAATCTTTGTCCAAATAATTGCAAGAGCAGCGTGCGGTCAGTAACCTGCGTGTAACGGTGTCTTAGCTTCCTAATACAAAAATAATTTATACAGTTCCGTTACGTGAGAGTGTAGACAACGGCTGAAACACAACATCTAACAAATCATATACTTAATATGGAGTTTAGTTTAAAAGTCAGAAACTAACGTGGAGAATTTTATTCGCTTCGTTTAAAGCGTTGTCTCGAAAATGATAACTGACGAATTACGTTCTGATAAGCAACAAATATGTAAGGTTTTTTTTGCTACGTTTCCCAAATGTGCGGCCACAGAAAATACTAGAATGTAGCGGAACAAATCTGTAGCTAACTTTACTTGGCCATTCGTGAATGCCGAAGTTTCCAGAACACTGGAAACTGATAGGTCGAGAAGTTTCGACGCAGGTCCCGCCTCCTTTGTTTATGTATGGATAGGACATTTTTCCTCGCACCAACCACGCCCCGCCCTGCCCTGCCATTAGCCAATGCGCCGCTCGGATTGTTTACCGACGGACAGCTTTTCCTTCCAGTCAGACAGCGCAACAGCGTATGCGTCATCACAGAAAGCCCGGCAGTTTTCGGTGCGGCTGTAAATGAATGGCAGGAAACGTTATTGATGGGTCGAACTCCCAATGAAGGCTCCGCTAGCCCTCGACTTCCTTGACTCTGAGCGGCTAATTAATATATTCGTAAGGGAGGGACCACCGCATAGTCATCTCACAGTAGCTTCTGGAACCTCATGGTAGCACGATGGCTAAGGTATGTGTGGGTACCGGTTGGCATTTGATTTTTAAGTAAAGATTACGTGTTGGTTCTTAAATTGTAAAACGTTTGCGTGCTCATTAATCAGAAGCGCAAGTTAGTTAATTTTCTGGCTCCTGTTTTGATTTTGTTTTTGTCTCGTGAGCCAATTGAAAACCGCATTTCGCATCGCTACGGACGTTAGTGAAAAAGATGCATCTAATAAGTTAAGTATTTGACTTGCTTGTGGAATTGCGTTATTTATATTCGCTGTGCGTTTTTTGGTCCTCATCTGAAATGGTTATAGTCTAGCTCTCGATCGTTTTAGTGTTGGACTGGTCGGTAGCTACCTGTATCTATGCGCTGTGTTTAGTAGGAAGGCCATGTAAATTGTGGTAGGTCGATGAAAGGCGTCCTTATTGTGTGCTCCTGGATGTCTGTGGGCTTCCTAACGTTATAGGTTTAACACGGTTGCATAAATTGAGCTGCCTTTGCCAGCTGGCTCTCTGGATGTCGTAGGCTGTCACGGTGTTTCTATGGGGCCAGTCGCATAAGTTATGGCTCTTAGCGAGCTGTTCATTCAGCTGCTGCGGTCACACACATGTCTGACTAGCGAGATTTCTGCAGCCCTAAGCTAATATTTCGAGCTAGTTGTATTGATAAATAATTAGGAGTTAAAATGCTCCATAGTCTGTCTGCTGTGCGAGAAAAGGCGATTGTGTTTCATAGCTGCTTCCAGCATTTTTAAAATATGACACTAGGTGACACTCAAAATTGTCCTCATCATTATTTGACCGTGGATAGATGTGAATAACTAAATTCTTCACAAGCCTGTTTCTGTATGATTAGTCAGCTAGTGTCTGCTAGCAACATCAGTTGCATTTCTTGTAATTAAAATAAGATTAACTTAATCGATCCAGTGCTGTTTAATTGGGTTGTAAATTTCCTTGTCTGCTTTATCCTTATACTTGCTTTTTATTCTTATGCTATGTGTCTGTGTGTGTCTGTCTAATGTTTCTTCCTCCTTTTTCCGTGCCCCCTCCATTATTCGTCTCCACACACCATTTGGGTTCCCTTGTTTGTATCTCACCCTGTCACCTTCTCTGGTGTTTCCACCTCTTTTTTTTCCTGACCAGGTGTCAGAGTTGAAAGACAAAGGCAACAAGGCACTGAGCAGCGGCCAGCTAGATGAGGCGGTGCGTTGTTATACGGAGGCCTTGACCCTCGACCCCTCCAACCATGTGCTGTACAGTAACCGTTCTGCAGCCTATGCCAAGAAGGGAGATTATGAGAATGCCCTAAAGGATGCTTGCAAGACTGTGGAGATCAAGCCTGATTGGGGCAAGGTAGGTGCCGCCGTCCACTGCAGATTCATAGCTGCTGGCTTCATCTCTCCATGATTTGTATTAAATTCTAAAGCCAACCCTTGTCTTTTAATTCCTTCCAAAGGGCTATTCTCGCAAGGCTGCAGCATTGGAGTTCCTCAAGCGATTTGAGGAGGCCAAGGTGACCTACGAGGAAGGGCTCAAGCACGAGCCGACCAACCAGCAGCTGAAGGATGGACTTCAGAACATGGAGGCACGGCTAGCAGGTAGAGGAAACTCTACAGATGTCCGAGTGAAAGTGTTTGTGTTGGTCGGTTTATTCCCTGCAAAGCGTGAGGTCTTAATGATATGGTTGAGCCAGATGTTGCCATCTTTGTAGAGAAGAAGATGATGAACCCTTTTGCTATGCCCAACTTGTATGAGAAGCTGGAAAGTGACCCTCGAACCCGGGCACTCCTGGCAGAGCCTGGATATAGAGAACTATTGGAGCAACTGAGGAACAAGCCTTCTGACCTTGGCACGTGAGTTGTATGGGGAAAGCTGTTCAAATGATTGGTTTGAAGTGCCATAAGGTTTTAGAAATGAAACTCTTTAGTTTGTTGTCATTCTGTTGTCATGGAAACTGTTTTTCACAGTCAAGAGTAGCACTTAATAGCCTAGATATTTGCATATCATCCATATCTAATCTGTTTTACCAACTAAAGTTGAATGCATGTATGTATTGCATGAAATTAAGCCTTTCATTTAGCTGCTTGAATCGATCCTTGCGAATTCCTGCAGGTTTTTCCAGATCATCATATGGTTTAATACTGTGTTAAATATTTTGTAACTGATGTGCTTTGACTGAAGGTAGAGAAGCTTTCAATTGCTATGGATGCCCTGTGATTTTTCACACTCTTCTTTATACGACTGTTTAAGGACTTAAACTATTCCTATTTAGTATTGACAATGTGCAGCAGGTGGTTGATTGGGGGTGCAGACTGGCTTAACCAGCCACCTGAACGCTAAATACGGACAGCTGTACCTGAAAGGTGTAACACCGCTCTGCTCGCAGAAAACGACAGGTTTTCAGTCCAGTTCAAGTGTTTTTTAAAACTAACCCGTTTGTTTGAGCTCAGTGGCCGTGTTCAGGGATCATTTCTGTGGCAGAGTTATGTCATGATATGGGAAAGCTTGTTGGTTCTCTAGATATTGTTCAGGACAACGTTGGTGCTGATTTAGCATTAGTTCTCTTTACATCTAAAGTTATTAGAAACCATTTTTCCTGTATTTTGCTACCAGCCGTGAAAATAGGTGAACTGAGAACATGAGTTACAGCTAAAGTGCTATTGGTGTACAGGCTGTATTGTGTGTGTTTGCTGCACAATGATGCCCCATGCCACTTCTCCCTGTCTCCATCCTCGTTTTTAGGAAGCTGCAGGACCCTCGGGTGATGACCACGCTCTCTGTCCTGCTGGGCTTTGACTTTGCTGGGGGTGAGGAAGATGAAGAGGAGCCCACCCCGCCACCACCCCCCAAAGCAAAACCGCAGCCTCCCCCACCCAAAGAGGAGGACCTGCCGGAGAACAAGAGACAGGTACAGACTTGCAGATTGCGCATCTCTGTGCTGGTCGATGATGCTGACTGAACAGGAGCCGCTCTCACTGTATTTCCAGGCTCTGAAGGAGAAAGATCTTGGCAACGAGGCTTACAAGAAAAAGGACTTTGAAACGGCATTGAAGCACTATGAGGCTGCACTACAGCATGACCCCACCAACATGACCTACCTTTCCAATCAAGCAGGTATCACATCTACAACCCACCCATGAATCCCCTTCAGGAGACCTAAAACTGGCGTCATGCTGATGGCAGGTACCCCTGTCTTGTCTTGTCAGCTGTATTCTTTGAGAAGGGCGAGTTTGAGAAGTGCCGAGAGATGTGCGAGAAAGCCATCGAGGTGGGCCGGGAGAACCGCGAGGACTACAGACAGATCGCAAAGTGAGTCTCTAAGCGGAGGATGACCGTGACTCATGAGTCAAACCTGCCTTTTTCAGAACCGTATCTTCTCAATTTGTGCAGTATTGGCAGGAACTTACAGTTTTTGGCAGCTTATTGAAATATTCTGTCATCGAGAGTGTTTTATCACTGTACATATGTTTAATGATAAATAGCAACTTAAAGCTCTAGTACAAGTTATATTTAAGTATATTAAATTTTGTAGTGTTGTTTCATTTAATAAAGCTAATTTAATAGTGATGTGTGACTTCAGATTTTAAAAACTAGATAGAAGTCAAGTCATTTATTTATATAGCACATTTAAAAACAGGAAGTGCTTTCCAGTTTAGAAAGAATGAACAAATACTGCCTTCATAGTAAAACATATATAAATATATAAATAAAATAACATGTGTAACAGTGAAATATACATAAATAAATAAAATACCATGAAAATGTGCATACAAGAAATAAGGAATTAAATAATACATACATGCATTCATACATGACCTGCTGGGTATTCACTTAGATAAATGAGGACTTGGTATTTTATAGTAACACTGAGAAAAGGTTCCTGTTATCTGGGTCTTTTTTGGCCGTTATAACCCAGTCTTTCCCTACAGTCTTCAAGGACCCGCAGCTGGTCCACATTTTTGTTCCCTGCCAGACAGCCCAAATTTTGCTCCCTCCTGGGGGAAGGAAGGAAGCGAAAATCTGGACTGTTATAACCTTTTTTTAAGGTGTTGATTAATTCCTAATCTTCTCCCCCCTCCAATTAGGGCTTATGCAAGGATTGGAAACTCCTACTTTAAGCAGGAGAGGTACACAGATGCCATCCACTTCTATAACAAGAGCTTAACTGAGCATCGCACCCCTGAAGTGCTGAAGAAATGCCAGCAGGTATGGAGATGTCACTGTCACCAGTGTCCGCCGCCCTGTCTCCATGACCCCCAGATGGTCTTTAAATACCCTTGTTCCTCCAGGCAGAGAAGATTGTGAAGGAGCAGGAAAAGATGGCCTACATCAACCCTGAGATGGCCTTGGAGGAGAAGAACAAGGGGAATGAGGCCTTCCAAAAGGGTAGGGGGCAGCAGATTCATACCTTGTAGCAACAACAACTTTTAGAGGTCTGCACATATACACCCCTGGAGGTATTAGTAGAAATGAGGTGGAGTTCTAGTTTCCAAAGTCGGTGGCTGGTTGGTGACTCGTTACGAATGACAGTACGTCTGTGATTTTGCCAAATTTGTGTTCTATTTCTGTACCACATCTCCTCCCTGACGGCTGCAGGTGACTATCCGCTAGCCATGAAGCATTACACAGAGGCCATCAAGCGGAACCCCCAAGATGCCAAGCTGTTCAGCAACCGCGCCGCCTGCTACACCAAGCTGCTGGAGTTCCAGCTGGCCCTGAAGGTAGGGCTTAGTGCCGCCATCGACACTCTAATCGTCTTGATGTTGCGGTTTGGTCGCATGTTATGCAGATGATACCTGGGTTCGTCTTCCCTCCCAGCTCCCTATCAATTTGGACTGTCTGGGAGGGAGCGAATATGCGGATCGTCTGCAGTGAAGCTATATTGGCAGTGTTCTGCTAACCATCCATGTTCTTTGCTGAATCACAAGTGATTGGTGCCTAAATAGCATAACGGTGCCACTGATTTGACTAAAACACTGAAAGGTCTGTGTTTTTAACGTAATTTTAGTTTGCAGCTCAATCTATTCGTATTTAGATAAGTGTTCTTAGCTATGAATAAGGACATATGGGTCTTGTGGTTTGTTTTTTTTCTTTTTTCTTTTTTCTTGACCTTTTACCTGAAAGGTGAAAGCTTAAGGTAAACTTGTCCTTGATCATTCTGCTTTCGTTGTAGGACTGTGAAGAGTGTATCAGACTGGAGCCTGCTTTCAGTAAGTTATAACCGCCCTGCTCGTGATTGTCCACACACTGCCATTCCTTCCTGTCTCCATCGCACGCCTTGTCTTCTGCTTTCAGTAAAGGGCTATACGCGCAAGGCCGCCGCCCTGGAGGCCATGAAGGAGTTTAGCAAAGCGATGGACTTCTACCAGAAAGCCCTGGATCTCGACTCCAACTCCAAGGTACCAAGACGCATTAAGCTTAGTATATTACTTCACTTGTATGTGTGCCATTTCGCTCCGCACATGTTCCACGGCGTGGACTTTTGCATAGATGTTTGTCCAAGTATGCGTCCGGTCGCAGTCATCACATGGGTAGAAGCAATCGTATTCCACCAGGCCATCAGTGCTCATGCACAGTCGATGCCTGATGTCCAATCCCATCTATCTAGTTTTTGTCCTGATGTCCAATCCCAGAAGTTTGGCAAATTAACAGCAGCTGCCTGACACCTGCAAATGGAAACCAGTCACTAGTAATTGGATAAGAAATATTTGTCTTATTAACGATAAATAGTAACTATTCAAAAGAGAAAAAAGACGGGTCTCTTAAAATGAACGACTCATTGGTTTCCTTTTTTAGAAACTTTTTCAGTGGTTAAACTGCATACAATATCTGTCAAAAGAACTAAACCTTTTTGGTGCATTTATATATATATATTTCTTTAAAGAAGACACTAACTCTTGTGTACATGGGACTTACAGAAAACACTATGACATACTTTGGATCCTTAGTGACCCAGCATATATAGGCTATATTTAAAAGTCAAGCCAAAAATAACCAGAACAGTGCAGACTTTTATTGAATACATATTCCCCGAACACTAAGAACAGTTTCTAAACAAATGTAACTTTTTACATTTTTTTTTTTTTTTTTTTTTGTTGCTATTTTCACGTGGAGCATGCTAAACTCAAAATTAAGGAATTAACTTTCAAACAGTTTTGAATCATTTTCCAATTAAAATAACGTACAATTAATATTGTATAATGTTTCATAAAATGCTGCCGGGCAAAATAGGCCTTCTGGTTTATTTACTTGTATAGAAAGTACCCACCTCGCAAAAGTGTCCAGTGACCAAAATCCATTCTCATCCACAAAACAAGCTTAGATGTTGCAGTGTTTGCCCAATTATCACTATATGCAATGTCCCATTCATACCTTGCACTTTATGGAGAAAGACTGGGATTGGGGGTAGTAATGATTTTTATATATATATATATATATATATATATATATATATATATATATATATATATATAAAAAATGATATTCTAAGCAATTAAATTCTAAGCTATTTTGGCATGAATTTGTTAGTCAATTCACACTGAGCCTTGTGACCCGAGGAAAGCCGTAAACTGATATTTTAATCAGGTGTATTAACATGCTAGCAATGCTGCTAACTGTAGCAATGAAGTCATTAATAACCAGAACAACTTAAAATGTAACGTTACACAGTGTCTGTAGTAATTGACAAACTCTTTAGTGTAACGGGAATGTTAGCCTCGAGCTGTTAAGCTACCTTCGGTCATAACTTTCTATTATGATAAACATTAACAGCTAATGCTGAGCACATATAAAAGCATAATAATTATTATATTAATGACAGCTGATGTATTAAATGCTTTTTAACAAAATGTTATTTTATCAACATACCTCTTAAAGTGCTTGGTAAACAATGGAAATGAATGTGATTCTATGCCGTGAATGTCAACGTTTGGAACTAGTCACCGTCCCCACGGCCCGGAAGTTTGACGGAAATTTCTCTGCCATTTTTCGCAATGGGTCCCTACGGGAGTCTTCCCACTCTGCTTTTTCACCGCTCTGCTACACATAATGCAGCGTAAGCACGCTGTGCGACACTAACGATCCTCCGTGTGGAACACGGTGATCCCTGAGCAGTACATAGTACACAGTGCATCCCAAATGCAGTCCATTTACATAGTCCTGTGGATTAAACGAAGCATCGAAGCAAAGAATTTGCAGCAAATTTTTTTTTGCTATCGAGTTATTTGACTTACTTTGGCTACAACAATTCATTGAGTATGAACACATCTTTCTTATTCATTCTGTGCTGCAGGGATAAGAACATAAGAAATTTACAAATGATAGGCCATTTGGCCCATCAAGCTCGTCTGGGGAGAACTCAGCTAATAGCTCAGAGTTGTTAAAATCTTATCTAGCTCTGATTTTTAAAGGTATCCATGGTTTTAGTTTGCACTACACTAACAGGAAGACTATTCCATACTCTAACTACATGCTGTAAAAGTGCTGGGTGGGTAGGCCAGCCTGTTTTCTAAACAGTGACCTTTTTAAGAGAAGCTTTATCTGATTACGTACTTCTGGGTTGATCTGTGGGATGTTGCGTTCCACACATTTGAGTGTCCATATAGATATGGCAAACAATGGGGAGGTGATAATTGTTAATATGAAAGTGGAATTTTTGCGAGATGGTTTTCTGAATTGTTCCGAAGTCAGATTTGATCTGAATTGGCTGGCTTGGTGTCTGAGGTGACGTGGGACCTGTGGGTGTGTAACCCCTGCAGGAGGCATCAGAGGGGCTGCAGCGTTGCCTAGTCAACCAGGCGATGCGCAACGACGACCCCGAGGATGTGAAGCGCAGGGCCATGGCCGACCCAGAGGTGCAGCAGATCATGAGCGACCCGGCCATGCGCCTCATCCTGGAGCAGATGCAGAAGGACCCCCAGGCACTCAGCGAGTAAGGAGGCCTCTACCTTCATGGCTGCTCCACAGAGTGTTTATTAGCAGTTGTGGTTTGAAGGAGCTTTCTGCCTCATTATTCCACATAAATTATGTTGCCTAATAGAAGTGCAGTGACAGAGGTTGAATCATAACTCTCCAATGTTGATTTTATTACTAGATTCAATGATTTTACTTAGACAGCTAATTAAGCAGGTAATTTAGTCAGTCATCCAGCTACATATGAATTTGTGGTTACATTATGTGAATTTAATTTAATGTAACAAAGTCGTTAAACCTCAATTTTAACCAAATGGCAAAGCAAATCAAATCTGCAGAAATAGGCCTGACCAGAGCGGTTTCTAAAACTCAGTTGTTACCTATTAAATTCATTGCATACTTGCAGTCAGTAGCATAGATGCTATGATGTAAGTGCACATATGTATAGCCAATTTGAGAATCCTGGATGCATTGTATGGATGCTGTGTAAAGTTGTCATATAAACACACACAAGGGGAAGCTAGCCATGTTAAAGAGCTCCTCTTCCCTTCTAGCCACCTGAAGAATCCAGTCATTGCTCAGAAGATCCAGAAGCTCATCGATGTCGGCCTGATAGCCATTCGGTGATTGGAGGGAAACCGAAGTATGGTTCAAGCACAGAACGAGATGACATTGAGGCTACAGAAGAACAACACAACCCCCCCCCTCATCTCTTACCTCCATCAGACATCAAGATCTACAGTCGACCCAAGTTTATTCTCAGCCAAAACAGTGTTTAAGGCAACAGCAACCAGTTCCAGAAGACTTAATGATTCACATCCCAGAATTTCTAAATATTTTGAAATGCATGCTTTAACTGTTCTTGAGCAGGGGTTAATTTTGATTTTGTAGGTTTGTCATTTTAAGCCAGACAATTATGCTTATTATAGCAGTCAATTAGATCTGATTTAGATTTGTTCTTCACTATACGCACAGCAAATACTCTATAACTGTAACTTGTTAAAGTGAATCATAATCCCACTTTATATCTGTGATTCCCCCCCCCCCCCATTTGAAAAAGAAAAAGATCAGTTCTCTGAATGTGTTCTTGTGCCCCTTCTTGAATTGTGCAATTTCATGCATTGATCATGCATGAAAGAAGCATATTGCTGTTTGATCCTAAATGGTTCTTTTGTCTTTGGCTAAATGATCTTAAAGATGCTTGAGATAGCCCAGTATCTGGCCGCAGTATGAATGTGTGGTGTTTTTTTTTTTTTTTTTTAGTATTTTCTTTTTTTTTTTTATATATATACATATATAAATGTAATCGGACCTCAAAAGGCAATGTTCTACCTGGATGCTGTGTTGGCCTGAAAAATGACACCGACGAACATTTCTCAAGCTGCTCTGCCCTCCCCCGGCTGCTCTCACCCACTAGAGGGTGCACTTTACCTGCATTTTAACTAGGATTCTTGTACACTTTCCACCACAACTACACAGAACTTCTGTATTTCAGTAAGACTGGGAGAGGTAGTGCTTGTTGCCAAGCCACACTGCGATATTTATGACATGTTAGCCTAGCATTTAATGATTGGTTCCCTCTGTGGAACATTTGAAAGTCTATATGATTTTCCCAGGTATAGCTATACTGCTTTGTCATTTATACTAATGCAGTAATGGGATTTCAGTCAAGCATGACCTATGAAGATGTATTTCTGCACCTGGGCCTTGAACCACATTTTGTTTAATTTGGTTTTGACATTGATGCTGTAATGGGGTTTGCTTATCAGTAAAAGGATGCCCATTCTTCATTTTCATTAATATCACATGATTTTGCGTTTAATTTTTATTTTCTAAGGAAACACTAATATAAAAATTTCACACATCTGACAACTGGTGACCGTGCTACATATTTCTATGAAGATTTTGGGTTCAGTTACAGTATCAGGATTAAGGCTTGATGAACCCAACAATTTGTAGCACTTACTGGAAAAGGCTAACTTATTATTCTAACATGTAGTAGATCATTAAGTGCAATATTTGTGACTGATTGTATTGCAGAAGTCACCCGCTTCCATTGAACAGGGCCTTCAAGCACATGCCTGTCTCGCACTGCGTCATTAAACTTCAGCCAACCCAAAGTGAAGAAGTTGAGGGGGAACGGCTTTGGTCAGAAATGCTGATTGAAGGAAATCAAATACTTCCAACAATCTTCCCCGATACACTGTAAATTAGGCTTTGCTAGACCTTAGGAGAGCCGGGATAGTATAAGCGCTTTCTATTCACCTGTATCACTTCACTGTATTAGTTGTCTTTCCAGTGCACTAGGTATAGATAGGGTGTGTCTATGTCCACAGCTATGTCATAAAAATCTACATTAAGGAAGACAACTGGAAACTGCAATCTGGTTTGCTGATGGAATTGGTGAGATGAAAATACAAGCCAGTAGGCTTAAAAACGAAGGGTGAAAAGAATGAATGCAGTGACATTCCAAATAGGTTCTCTTAGGTTGCCTATTGCCATTTGGAATCACGTCATTCTTTGTATTGTCTGTCTAACCAACTGCTAGCCTTTCACATGCCTTTCAATGCTCATTACTGCTTCAGCAAGACTCATTCAGAGTGTTCAGGTTGGTCTTTGGGTGTAATGCAAAAAAAAATAAAAATATGTGAAACCTGCAGGAATGGCAAGGCACCGCATCGAACAATCGGAGGGTCTGTTGTATTGCTACGAATTGCATGATTGTATTTTTGTCAGCAATAAAGTAAATGTAACTGCTGGAAATGCTGTCTTACCCAGTATAATAGGCAGATTTGGAACTTCTGAAATACAAGGTACTGCTTGTTTTTGTTCTTGGTGATTATTATTTTTTTTAATATAAATCCCAAATAATTGTCATTACGTAAAGACTTCAGTAAGAGGTGATGTTATGTGATGTTTACTGTAAGTGGATTTAAATATAGTTTAATTATGAGTTAATGCTAATGTCTAGAGAGAGAAGCTGCCAAGATTAAAGAACAGCTGCTTCTTCCTCAAACGCAGAAAATTCGTCTGTGTTCAGTCTATGATCTCCACTGATGACACGTGCGTTGTAGAGGGAAGACGCTTCCATAGACCCGTAAAAAGTAATCTCTCTGTGACACACAAACATATAGCTCTTACAAAGTTTTCAGTACGGAAGTTGATATCAGAGGAACACTCGTTCAGTCTTGACACAGAAACCACAAGTAGATGTAGTGAGAGAGTGCTCAAGGGGGAAGTGAGAGATACATTGGCGAAAGCTCACAAAGAGAACGCAACGACAGCAGAGAACAGGCGGGGGACCTTCCTGGGGGGTTCTAAGACAGAGAACTTCATTCGGAAAACCAAAAAAAGGTAAGACTTCAAGATTTGAAGCGGCCGATTTCGGTGTTTTTGGACAGGGAGAGATGGAGGGTGAAGGATGTGTAAGAAAGCTGTGGTAGATTAGCTCTAACGTTTTAGGACGCCTTGCTCTTTATGGCCTATTCTGGAAAGTAACCAGTCAACCCCTGGGCCATATTTCTCTTGCAAAATTTTGCTAAAGGCCAATGGAGAGTTACTGTAGTTACTAGTTATTAGTGCATTTTTGGGTGACCTGGGGTATTTAGCAGTGCAAGGACACGATTGACTTTGCACCATAGGAAATGAGAGCTGAAGCAAGGAGTGGCCTTTCCTTATATGCCCCGTGTAAAGCCTCCCTACTGATTTTTTTTGGCGCTCGTTCTCTTCAGTTGAATCATCTTGCAAGCTATCAAACCATTTTTTTTTTAAATAAGCTGTATCTGTGTTGTCAATATTTGTATAGCCGTTTCTTAAAATGAGGTGTATGACAGAACCATTCTCACTGTATCGTCTGTAGATAACTATGAAGTAACGACGCCTATAAAATGTTTTCCCAGATCAATGGTACCATGTTAGACCAAAAACAATAGGACATTCGGCCCCTAAGCACGATGTTGCCGTGGCTGAGTTCATTGGGTGTGGAGCGCCTGAGCTGGACTGTGGGCTTGTCTTGCGATTGGGAAGCATGGGTCACTCTGATAGTGGGAGCTGGAAACAGGAAGTGGCTGTGGGCTGGGGACCAGCACTGTCATGTGAAGAAATAGCCATGGATTCCTGAAAATATGGCTTGCTTTATCCAGGCCTTAGGTTGATATGGTGTCAAAACAGCAACATTAAACTGCTCATTTCCTACTATGAAAGCATCATCCCTGGCAAGGAAATGGTTTATTTCTCCATGAATGTGTTGGTCCACATTCCTGGGTTAAGCTTAATGATCAATTTACGGTCGATTCTAATTTTATCTGAAGCGCCAGCACGAAAATACCCATAGTAATGTTAGGGAGATGATTTGGAATTCAAACTCAACATACCTTGTAGTTGTTGAACATTGGAGGTGATTTCAGGAACAGGAGTGAAGATGCACAGCCAATTGTTTATACGTGGTATATAGTGTTCAGGTAATATCAGCTTGCTGGTGTGTTCAGTCTCCAAAAATAGTGGTGGGTGAAGGGAAACTGAAAATGAATTGTTGTCGGCTCTGCGATGGCACACAGAGCACTTAGTCATATAGTTATATATATATATAATATAGTTAGAATTAAGTGGAGTTATAGTGGATTTATCTGTTTGTACATATCCTACTGTATTAAAGCAAAGGACAGACAGAATGAAACCAACAGCAGGACTCAGACTCATGACTCATCCACCCTTTCTTTCTTGGTGACACTTGCAGAATGGCCGTGTGGGACCTGTCTGTCACCGTGGAGGAGCTTGGTGTGGAGGCTCCCCCCCTCTCCATCAGCGTGACTTCTGACCTGCACATTGGTGGGGTGATCCTCAAAATCGCGGAGATGACGCGTGAGTCCCCAAAAGACAGCAAACACGTCCTCAGCCTGTCACAATAGTGTCATGAACCTGCTCCAGTCATGCTTTACTTCTAGGTATGTCAGTACATTTAGCAAAAAAGGAGCTTTTCTTGTTGATTTCCTCTGTTAAGTGTGTTCTGGTGGACCGGCGATCCTAAAGGTTCTCTTCAAACTCTTTCTTTAATTAGCACACAGTTCAAGTTTACAAAGAAGAACATTGTTAAGATATATTTCATATATATTTAAGCTCCATGTTCTGGCTCCCTTGCAGTTCCCTAGCAGGAGCAAAAACATAGACTCTCTGGGGTCCCCGAGAAGCGGGTTGAGATACCCTGGTCCTGGATGCAGGTCTTTGAGCCTTATAATCTTATTTTTAATGTGTTGCTTCATGCCCCCCCCCCAACTCTCCAAAAGAAATCAAGATGGACTGGTCAGACCACGCCCTCTGGTGGGAGCAGAAACAGCAGTGGCTCCTGCGGCCCGCCTGGACCCTGGATAAGTGTGGCATCCACGCCGACGCGCGGCTGACCTTCATTCCCCAGCACAAGCCCCTGCGGGTGGGCCTGCCCAACGGGGCCGTGGTGAGGCTCCGGGCCTGCTTCTCGGGGCCCCTCTTTCACTCCATCATAGGCATCTGCAGAATCCTGAGTAAGTACATGGATCAGACTCTTCTGCACTATATCACATTAGATCACAAAAAATAACCAATCGATTATTTTAATTTGTTTTTGTTTATTTGACATTTTTACAAGCAAAGTAGCCATTGAGTGTTTCACATCAGTACATTTTCCAAAAAGGACCAAAAAACAAAACAAAATACGTTATTCCCTGAACACCTCAAAGAGCACCTTCCATCCATAGACATCTTCTGTCTGTGCATCCGGTACAGAGTTTCAGGTGGCCTGGAATGAGGTATCTGACTTCATTATAGACCACACACAGGTACAGTCACACACTATGGAGTACTCAGTTTGGATAACTGTGTGTCTTTGGACTAGATTATACATTATTAAATGTAGTGATTTTCTGGTTAACTGTCCTGTTTGCTTTTCACTTAGGATATACGAATGTCATTATAATACATGTTTACCTGTATAAACAGGTAATTCAGAGCAGCATCTACATCCCAACTCTGGAGGAATGAGGCAACAGAGAGACTCACTGAGGCCCTCCACTCTGGGCAATAATGAAAAAAAATGCACATAAAATGTTTAAAAATTACAGATTACAACAGCAATCCTATGTATGACTGTCTTGATTATGTCTGATCTAGGTGCTGTTGGTTTTTATTACCAGTAATGCCCAGCAGTTCTCAGTCGTCCTCTTCTGTATGTCTCGACCCTCGTTTTCATGGTGACGGATCTTGTGTTCTCCGTATTCCCGAAAGACATCCGTCACCCGGAGGAGCTCTCACTCCTGCGCCCCGTTGAGGAAAAGAAGAAGAAGAAAGACAAGGAGACGCAGGAGCAAGTGTATGACCTGACGGAGGTGCCCCTGACAGTAGGTGAGGGCCGAAGCAGGGCTAGGTTCTCCGCCGCGTAAACAGAGAACAGTCTGTAACATGGCAGTCTGCCCCCCCAGGTAATATAAGCAGCCTCCAGAACGGCATGCCAGTGCACTTCGCCATCTCCCCAGAGACGGAGGCTGCCTATAAGATGCTCTCTGTGAGCCAGCCACCGCCAGCCCCCGAGACCATCGCCAAAATGTACCGTCCGGCCAGTGTAGTTGACAAAGCGCACATCCACAGCAGGTGTGAGGCAGGCTGTGACGTCACCTAGCAAGTGGCCCATCCGTCTTTCTGTCATTCTGATTTCCTAAGTATCCGATCCTCCTTCGGCACGTGTGCCTGATTGTGTGCGTGTGAGAGAACCGCTTTTCATTCCTGTTTCCCTAACTATAAACTCACAAATCTCACAGGTGGCTGGACTCCTCCCGGTCCCTGATGCAGCAGGGCATCCAGGAGAACGACAAACTCAGCCTGCGTTTTAAATATTACAACTTCCATGAACTGGAGCCTAAGGTATTGCTTCTTCCTACATGTGTGTGTTATAAGGAGATTTTACCAGCTGAATCAAAAGCGAGCAGGACAATTCACTAACTGTTTTGATAACATGTCGACACATTCCAGTTAAATTATTCTGGTTTTTAAGCTTTTCTCCCATTTTCCCATTGGAAAATTGCCATATTGTCGCTGTCCAATGAAAAATGCATATCTCCGAAAGCCCTTCATTTCAGGAGCGCTAAATATACAAATCTTTTCAGAAACTCCTTTACAAAATAAACCTAAAACAATGTAATGAGAGACCTTTAGGACCACAAAGGAAAATCTATCTTTACACAGCCATCAGTGAAAGGTTTCATGTTTTAAATAGACTTACGTGAAAATAGACTTACATATCGCCTGCAAGGCAAATACGTCAGTGTCAACAAGATACAAACTAATTTCGCTTTATATTCAGAATTAACAATGATATTAGTTATCTAGCTGTCTAGCTGTCAATGTTAAGGCGTTAAAATAAAGAATGTAAAGTAATCCATTCATACAACCATCATCAATGCAAATGTTAACTAGTAAGTACTATTAAAAACATAAATGCAGTGAGGCACAAACATATAGCTTCATGAAAAGTCGTCGGCATGGTGGTTGATATCAGAGGAACACCCTTTCAAATTAGATGTCAAACGCTATCAGTGGACAGAGGAGAATGGGCCTATTCCATCTAGAGTAAAAAGTCGCAAATGTCGTAAGGTGGACATTGTGCCCGTAGCCATAGAGCAGTGTGTGGCTCAGTGGGCTAAGCCGTGTGCCTGTAATCACAAGGTTGCCGGTTCAAGCCCAGCCTCAGCACATCTGCGGCTCCTTGAGCAAGACCTTCAACCCCCAGCTCCCTGGGC